TGGCGAGCACATGCACCCAATAGCAAAAACCTCTCAAAAACAAAGAAATGTCTGGATCCCACGGAACTGACTATGCGGTTTAAGTCCCATATCTGGTGGCAAGAAGCATGCTGGATACATATGTATACTCAAAACCCGGAAAGGAGAAATGGAGGAGAAGGGGTTATGCATAACCCTCACCCACGGGGATACTTTCTTACTTTCCCTTTCTCTCTCTCTCTCTCTCTCTCTCTCTCTCTCACTCACACACACACACACACACAAGCACATGTGCCCTCTTGCAAATAAAAAATAAAATAAAAAGTCACTCAAATACAGAATAGCAGCATTTCTTATTGCTTATGTGTACAGAAAGTAACAGGATTTATTCACGGAATCATCTCTTTAGAAATAAAGAACCATGACTTGCTTTCTGCTTGGAAATATGTTCAACACAGGAAGTCAACAACACACAGCCCTATCATTCATTGGGGTTTTACATGGCTTTCCTTCACATTTTATTGCTTGTAGATCAGATAATATCAGCTCAAGTGTTTAAAAATATGAGCTTTTTAGTTACCATCCTTAATAAAACCTGAAATGAGTTATACGTCATAAGACTGCTATAATCCAACTGCATACGAAAACAATTGTGAGGAGTCTGCGGCTATTTTCCCTCAAGAAATTAAAAACATTTTCAAGCAAATTCTTATTACATGAAAACGCTGTAGCGTTCTGAACCGTTGGCAGTGCTGGTGAGATGTAGAAGATAGCACTTGGTGTAACTTTTATCTCTGGAATTATTTCATCTCATCCCACAAGAACGGATTGGGTGTGTAAAAGTTTATAAACACTCTGCTCTCAACCCCTAATTAGAGACGGCAGGCCTGAGGTGTCCTGGGTTGGACCCCGAAGCTGTCGCTTTCCTTTAATCCGTCGGTTGCTCCCGAGCACGTCCTATTTGCCGACCATCAGAGAGCTGTCGCACGGTGCAGGAGCGACCAAAGCTTTACCAAGTACAAAAGACTGAAAATAGGTCAACAGAGAGCATAAAGAAGGAAAATACGCTCTATTTTCAAAAGCATGCCGTGACTCACAGTGTCGCTGCTCAAGTTTGAGGGACTGGTGGTTTCAGGGTGATTTTAGAAGAGAAGGAAGGGATTTTGTGGGAAAGAGGATTGTCGTAACAGGCCTTGAAGGGCACATCAGCCACCACGCACACAGCGGGAAGGCTGCAGCAGGGCCGGGTGTGAGTGAAGTGGCAGGTCTGCGGGTCAGCGGGCCGATCAATGCCCATTTAGCTCCCGTGCACACCCAAGGCTGGTGTCAGCCCGGCTGACTGCTGCTCAGTGGGCTGCCCAGGAATGGCAGGCTTGGAAGGAGAAAGCCAGAGCCATGCTTTCCAGGGACTGAGCAGTTTGGAGTTGGAAAGACACAGCGAGTGCGTACGCGTGTATGCCCAAAATCCAAGAGGAGAATGAGGGAAAGGGATTGAGGTATGGCCATGCTCCCCGGCCCTCGCTCTGGGGGCTTAATCTCTCACTTTCTGTCTATCTCCTTCTCTCTGTTTTGTGTCCAGCAAGCACACACACTCTATAGCAAAAATTAGAAGAAAATAAACAAAGAACCATGTTTTCCTCAACACTCGGAGGACTGTATGCAAGGGTGAACACCAAGCAAAATTCAGATTTAAATCTCACAAACATTGATTAATAATACATTCTAAAGTACTTATTATAAGAGTGTCAGGTCCTGGGTTAAAAAGGCATTAATACGTATGTCTCATGTAATTCTGATGTCAAGTAGCCTATTTACTACCATGAATTAAAGTTAGAGAACTTTAGTATTTTAAGGTTTTAAAAATCCAACTGTAGGAACCAGCAGTTAGCGTAATGGCTATGTCGCTGGACTCCCACGTAGTCGACCGTGGTTCGAGTCCTGGACCCGGTGGCTTAAACTCACACCGGGCGCGTGTGCGTGTGTGCCCAAGAGCCCGAGAGGAGAATCGAGGAGAAGGGATTGTGGCATGGCCATCCCCCCTGGGGGGTGATTTCTTGCTTTCTGTCTCTCTGTCTCTCTCTGTCTGTCTGGCGAGCGTACGTGCCCTATAGCAAAAACCTCTAAAAAAAAAAAAAAATTCAACTGCAGTTGTAACTACAGCCAACAAAAGTGGGTTAATAATCACATGTCAGATGCCAGTCCTGAAGAGGGACATTCTCGGCTATAATACAAGATTCAAATAGGACCCAGAGGTTTGCACCACAGTAAGCAAAGTGAACAAGACTTAATGAAAAATAACCCATCATCCCCCGAGCCAAGAAAATCACAACTCGAATAAGAAAAGACAATTAATGGAACCTTGTTGCATCAGCGGTTGGGATTATCTGATGAGGATTTTAAAGTAACATAAAAAGATTGAACCACATCTTATAGTTTTGTCCTTTTGAAAAAATCACTTAAATGGAATCCTACCACATGGAAACTTCTGTGATTGGTTTTTCACACCTAGGATAATTTCCTCAAGATTAGGCATGTCATTATGTGTTTCAAGAATTCAATATTTTTTTTATTGTTAAGTCATATCCAGTGGGATGTATAAATGACAGTTGTGTAATCAATTCAGGGATGTGCTCCAGGTTTTTCTACTGTACAGTGCTCAGAGCAATCACTCCAGGTTTTTCTACCGTAAAGTGCTCAGAGCAATCACACAGATATTCGGCAAGAATATCCATTTTTATATTTCTAGGATAAATGCTCAAGAGTGCAGCTGCCGGATAGTGTCCTAACGGCAGGGGGGGGGGGGCCGCACCCCTCCAACACCTTCGTGTGGCACAGTTTTACCTCCCACCAGACACGTGTGAATGGCTGTTTCTCCTTACCCTCTCCAGCAGTTGGTATTGTCTTTATTTTTAATTTTAGCTTAAATATGACACTTCATTATTTATTAATTTTCTGTTTATTTGTTCTGATCTTAATGTTCCTCTTCTTTCTTTCCTTCCTCCCTCCCCCCTCTTCCCACTCACTCCTTTCCTTTCTTTCAATTCTTTCCTTTTCCTCGTAGGTTAGCTGACATTTTTTAGGATTCCACCTCCATTTCTTTAATTTTGATTGGCATTGTTTTTGAGTTATACCTCTTCGTAAAGATTCTAAATTGTTTTCTCTGGGCATTTTAATATACATGCGGAACCGGACTAGTGTATTTGTGCTGTAGAACAGGAATATTAATGCCCTCCGCCTCCCCACCGTTCTGGAGGCTGGGGAGTCCCACAGAAAGGTGCCAGCATCTACCGAGGGCCATTCTGATGCGGCAGAAGGCAGAAGTCAAAGGGAGCAGAGGAGCCAGTAGAACGCCCTGTGAGGCCTTTGTCTGGTTGGTTGGTTGGTTTGTTTTTAAATTTTGCCAGAGGAAGTGGGTGCTCACTAGAAAGAGACAGAGAGAGAAAATGAAAAATCATTCCCTAAGGGGGATCGCAATGCTGCAGCACCTTCTCCTCCATTCTCCTTTCAGGATTTTGGCCATGTGTGCACGTGTTCCTGGCATGTTTTTCAGGCCATCGAGTCCAGGATTCCCACAGTCTCATGGATCCAGCGCCTTAGCCACCATGCCACCAGCAGGCCTGTGAGGCCTCTTCTATAAGCACCTTGATCTTACTTTCTTTCTCTTGCCAGAGCACCCCCAGTAGGGTCATGCTCCAGTCTTCCTCCATTCCTCCTTCCTAGCCCACACGTCCATCACACTTTTCAAGCCACCGCACTGCAGTCAGCTCTGTGGTGTCCGGCTCCCCTAACTGTTGTGCTCCAGGCTGGCCCAGAGCCTTGGTCTGATTCATGAGGGAGGAGCCCTTTCACCCAAGCACCTCTCAAAGGCGGCACCTCTTAGTATGTTGGCAAGGGCTGGACTTTGGTGGGAACACATTTCACCCCCAGAAGGTGGAGGTCTTGTTTTCTTTGAGGCCAGTTTGCATTACTCACTTCTAAATTTTGATTGATGATGTTATAATTTTTTATTCAATTATGTTATTTCTAAAACTCACACCAAGAAAAATGGCCTATTAAATGTACTCATATTCCTGCTCATCGGAGGTGCCAAGATCTCTTCTTTTGTCGTTTGTTTTCAGTGTGAATATTACCCAGTATTGTTTGACATGACCTTGATACTGAATCTGGCAATAGTTTGGTGTCTATTGAACTATCTGGTAAATACAGAAATCACACAAGGGGCTAAACTGCGTAACTGCTATGCGCACACACACACACGCATCAAACGGGGGGAAGTTTGATAAGGTTGGTGGACTGCATCGATATCCATATACCACTGTGGCCCATAGATTTGTAACAGCTTGCCAGTAGGGAAATTTGATCCATCTTTCTGCTATTTCTTACGGCTGCACATAAATCTATATTTATGTCGATAAAAATATCAAGTTAAAAGAAAATGTGATTCTCTTTTCTGCTGATTTGTAAGTATTAGTGTTTCCAGAAGCCAGCAGTTATGTTACCTCACCAGAAAGTGTCCTTGTGTACACATTTGGCCACTTGGTCTCCAGCCCACCTGTATGCAATACTAAAAGAAATTTGAGAAAGTTATTAGGTTGAAGCTTTCCTCTGTAACTATTCTGTTTATTGTGTAATGTGAAGTTGGGTGGAACTAGTGCCAAAGGCAGAGGTGGTTCTTTCCTACCCGTATGTGTGAGTTAATGTGTCTGTCATTTCTGAGGTGAAGAAGAGGATGGATGAGGATTGAAGCACAGATGAGACCAGGAGCCTGTGGTGATATAAAACTAGCCTTGCGTCTCAGCGCTGGGGCTCGCTCTCACCCTCCTCCAGGAAAGGGAGGCCAGCTTTGTTTCCACAGGCTCGGTGCAATCCTCACACTAGAACCAGAACCAGAAGCAGCGCGTGACCGCGGTCCTCTGTGACTGAGCTCTCTGCTAGGTCTCATGTGGTTACCACAATGCCACCCTGGGAGTAAGCCTTCAAGCCAGCTTTCCTGAATACAAAAATGAATGATTAAGGGAAAAGCAAAGTGGAAAAATATTTATGTGAAACATGAAAATGGGAAGTTTAGAGAGATTATCATGTAAAGGACAAGAACAGGAATTTGAGAGTCTTTAAAGCAGTCGGGTCCACCCAGCCTTCCCTTCCTGCCTGGCTCCTTCCAGGCAAGCAGCTCCATTGGTAGGGTAGCTTCAAGATTCTAAAAATACATAGTACTTGGAGCACAAATTTGCTGAAAAAAATATCGCTGTGGCCAAACTGAGCAATTAGCTGAGCCTGCCATATGGAAAAGAACCGTGCGGGGTGAGCAGTATGCATCTCTGGTTTCCACATCTCCCTGAAGCTGCGAGCCCCCTCCTCCCAGTTTCGTCATGATGGAAGCAGCGCTGTGGAGCAGAATGACATGATGGCGGGTCCCACGGCTTTCCTCTTGCCTCTGCAGTCCATAGTCTGAATGGAAAGGGGCAAGAAACCAGAAATTTAAAATGAATGTTCAAAGGAAGCCTTTTCTCTTATGTCAAAGGACAAAGGAACCAGAAAAGAACCCTTGTAAGCAATAACCAGCCCACTGCGTCCAAACCGGCATCCATTGTGGCCTCCAGACCCTGCAGAGACAAGGGCCTCTCTCCCATCACACTGTGGTATCAGGAGAGACCGGCCTGAGGGTAAGGATTACGCCCACTGACCAGGGGTAACATGGAGTCCTGCAGTGTCCAGGGCAGACACTGAGAGAGGAGTGAGGGACGCCCTGACCCTCCTAGCCTGGGGGTGGCAGTGAGGCCTACTTGACAGCCAGAACTCTCACCACCTGGCAACGACAAGAGATCTCATCTCGAATGTCAGCAGAGGCGAGTAGGAGACCGGGACATCAATGCCTGCTTGCAGGAATGAGGGGGCATCCCTGCTCCCTCCCGACAAGAAGTCCGAGAGAGCCAGTGAGAAGAACGGCTGTGAGTAAACTCCAGTCTCAAAGGACAATACCCAGCAGGTCCCAGTTTTTGTTGAAAACATTACTTATCATACCGAGAGACAGAAGAACTTCATTCTGTACAAAATAAGAACATCATCAATACCTGCCATTGCTGAGATGACAGAGATGTTAGAATTATACAAAAAATAGTTTAAAGTATCATAATAAGTATTTTTAATAAGCAATTCTAAACAAACTTGAAAAATAGAAAAAAAAATAGAAAGGCTCAACTAATACAGAAAGTTTCAAAAAAGATAGAAGGTACAATGGCGATCTAAACTAACAATTTAGAACTTAAATATATCATACAATGGCCAGACTTCAAAAATTACATTTACAGGGACCAGCAGTTGGCGTAATGGCTGTCACTGGACTCCCATGTAGTCAACCGTGGTTCGCGTCCCGGACCCGGTGGCTTAAACTCACGCCGGTCGCGTGTGCGTGCGTGCCCAAGATCCCGAGAGGAGAATGGAGGAGAAGGGATTGCAAAGTGGCCATCCCCTCTGGGGGGTGATTTCTCGCTTTCTGTCTCTCTGTCTCTCTCTCTTTCTAGCGAGCGCACACGCCCTATAGCGAAAACCTCTCCAAAGGAAAAAAAAAATTACATTTACAGGCTTAACAGCAAATGGAAGGAATAGGGGGTCTGAACTTTCAGTGAACAAAATAGGACAATAGAAATGACCCAATATAGCAGAGAGAAGATTGACTGAGGGGGGAACCTTCAGGGGCCTGTGGAAGACAATGAGCTTTCTAACATTCACGCCATTGGCAGGACTGAAAATAATAGCTGAAACTTCCGCAATTTGGTAAAAGACACAAGCAAATTTTAAAACATACGTAAATCCCTAATAAGATTCTCAAAGGTTCCACATCAAGACACTTCGGCTAATTTTCACAAATAAAACATTTGAAACAAGTAAAGGAAGCAACTCCGTAGTGAAATCAATTCTCATAATCCAAGTTCCTCACCCTGAGCTATGGAAACCAAGAGCAAATAGCATATTTTTGAGTACTTAAAAAATTATGCACATAGAATTCTTTATCCAGCAATATGTTACTGGTTTTGTTTCTGTCCCTCTCCTACCCCAGAATGAAGGAAAAATTCAGACATTCTCAAAAGAAGGAGCACTAAGAAAACTTGTCAGGGGCCGGCAAGTGGTACAGTGGTTAAGGTGCTGGGCTCCCAGATGGTCGATCACAGTTTGAGTCCCAGACCCAGCTTGAAATTCATGCTGGACATGTGTGCGTGCGTGCCCAACATCCTGAGAGGAAAATGGAGAAGAAGGGACTGCAGTGTGGCCATCTTCCCTGGGGAGGGTGACTTCTTGCTTTCTTTCTGGTGAGCACACGTGCCCTGTAACAAAAATTTCTTAGGGAAAAAAAAAAAAGAAAACTTATCATTAGCAGATATACCCTAAAAAAAGTTGCTAAAGAAGTTTTTCAAAGAAAAGGAAATAAATATAAAAGAGAGAGCACCATGCATCTTCAGGAAGAAAGAAAGAATACTATAAAGAGTAAACATGTTGGTAAATACTATGGGCCCCTCTTCTTCTATTGAGATTCCAAAATGATAGTTGAAAATGAGCAGAATTATGACACTGTGTGATATGGTTCTCAATACACCTTGGGAAAATATTCAAGATTAGATTATTTTAAATGAAGGCATGTGAAGGGGTACAAAGGGACCTATGGTCTCCATACTTCACTCCAGCTTTTATAACAGTGAAACTGGTGGACTTCAGCATATTATGTAATATAATATATAATACAATAACTATAACAGCAACTAAAAATCTATACAAAGAGATACACTTAAAAATACGGTAGATGAATCAAACTGAATTATAATAGACTTTCGAGTAATCTACAACAAGGCCAGGGAAAGAAACAGAAACAAACGAAAAACAGAAAAAGAGAGCAAACACGGAATAAGGTAACAGTTTTAAGCTATAAACATGCTGATAATCACACTGAGTGTAAAGGGTCTAGCTGCGCCAGTTAAATGACAGAAACAATCACAACATATTACTGCACATATTCAAACACACAATATCTACACAGAAGTCACTTCTAGTAAAACAGTAGAGGTAAGCTGAAAGCAAAATGCTGAAAAATATGTATTGGATCATCAGAAAAGTTATTATGTATCTTTCTATGTTTTTCTATGCTAAAAGGTGTCATGACTTTTCTGACAACCCAATATCAGAAAATATTAATCAAATGAAAGCATGAGTGATTATATAAATGTTAGATAAAATGGATCAAAGTCAGAAAAATTACCAGAGGCAGAGAGCGTCAATCCACAAAGAACATGTTACTATCGTCAATGTGCGAGTCAGACAACAGAGCGTAAAATAAGTTAAGAAAATCTGACAAATTCAAAGGATATGTAGGCAAAAATACAGTCATATTTGGCAATTCTAACACACCTATCTCAAAAATTGAGAGGATATCTTTATAGAATATTCCTCAATAGATTTAAAATAAGTTAAATGATACAATATATACACTCCAATCATAATGAAAAAAATGAATATAAGTAAACAGGAGAAAGATAACAGGAAAATATAAACAATCCTCTTCAAAATAATCCTAGCAGTATGGCCAACAAAATTTTGAAAAGTAAAGAAAGTGGAAAAACAACATATCAAAGTTTATGGGACACAGCTGAAACAGTGGGATAGAAGAAAAATTTTAACACTAAAGGATTGTATAAGAAAAGTAAAAAAAAATCTCAAATCCAATAATTTAATCCCTCAGTTCAAGGTCCTGCAAAAGAAAGAGCAAAACAAACTCAGAGAGGAATAGAAATAAAATAATAAATATAAGAGCAGGAATCATTAGTTTCAAAAAGAAAAACCAGCAGAGAGAGAGTGAGTGAAACGAAAAGATTTTTCTTTGAAAAAATGTGTAAAAATGAGCAACCTCTATCAAGTGTGGAAAAATAAACACACACAAAAAAAAAACCCAGAATATATAATTTACCAAAATCATGACGGAGAGAATATCATTACAGATATTAGACATCAAAAGGATAATAAGGAAATACAACCCACAACTCTCCACATATAAATTTGACAATTTAAATAAAACAGATAGGTTAAAGAAAAAATACAAACTAGCACAACTCACCCAATATGAAGTTAATAATTTGACTAGTCGTGAGCCTAATAAACAGTTTGAGTTCATAAATCAAAATCTTCCAAAAGGGAAATGACCAAGCCTATATGATTTAATTGAAGATTTTACAAAATGTTTAAAGAAAAACTAACACTAATTTTACAAGATCTGTTGCAGAACATAGAAGTGGAAACATTTCTCTAGTCTTACAAGGTCTGTGTTAGTTAATTACCAAACCAAACTAAACAGTATGAACAAACAAACATGCAAATGAAAACCGTAGACTAGTGATTCTCATGAATTTAGAGACAAACTTTTTTTTAAGAATTATTTTTTTCAACTTTACTTATTTGTTTATTTTAGTTTGACCAGCGATAAACAAATAAACCAGTTATACAAGGCTGTTTCTGCCTTTGAAACTCAATCAAGGTAATCCCTGATATGAACTACTAAAGAAGAAAAACGGCATAATCAAATCAATTATTGACGAGAAAGCATTTGACAAAAATTAGAACCATTTATATTTTAAAACCCTCATAAGATGGAATACAATAAATCATCCTAACTAAATGTAAAATAATCTAAAAATAATGTTAAGAACTTACAGCTAATTTATATTTAATAGTGAAACATTAAATGCATTCTTATTAATATTAAAAACAAGGCAAAGGGGCCAAGTAGGTGGCATAGTCGTTAAGATGCTGGCTCCCACACAGCCAGCACCACAGTTTGAATCCCAGACCCAGCAGCTTGGAAAAGCACATCGGGCATGTATGTGTCCATGCCCCGAATTCCAAGAGGAGAATGGAGGGGAAGGGAGTGAAGTGCGGCCACCCTCCTCCCCCACAAAGAAGGTTGCGTTCTCATTTTCTTTCCCTGTCACTTTGTCTGTTTCTTTCTGGCTATAACACAATTAAATAAATAAATACATAAATGAAAATTTTTAAAAAGAGAAAAATAAGGCAAAGATGTCTGCTTCCCCATTCTCAGCCTAGTGCTGAAAATCCCGGTCAGTGTGATGAGGCAAGAAGAGAAAGTAAAGTCATCGAATTTGGAAAAGAAGGAAGTCATCACTATTTTCAGAAGATGGTATCAACATTTAACATAGTCTACAAAAAGTAAAACCTCCCACATTTAAACATGTGGCAGAACAGTAGATACACATGTAAAAATCAAATCCATCCACTGCGAATGGAACTTAGAGAAGTGGCTCTGGCAGTCAGAGTGAGCAGGGAGTGAATGCGAATGCCTGAGACATTACTGTACGCGCCCGTAGACTTTGTGAACACTGTGCTGGGACTACTCTAAATTCATTTTCTAGAAAAGCAAACAAACAAACAAACACAACTTGCTTCAGTAAAAAATTAGCCCTCACTTACTGGAAAATTTTTCATTTGATTAAATTATTGATTCTTTTATAAGACACTGAGCTTAAAACACTAACACTGTGCAGTTGTACAAAAATAGTTTTATATCTTTATTCTATAAAATTTAATTTTAATCTTAAAGAAACAAAAATTGTATAGTAAATACACAAATCAGTAACAGTCATTTATTAGTATTATCAAGAATTTATACTATACATAATTGTATGTTCTCTGCGGGTTTTTTTTTGCTCGAGGGGTTATTTGCTCACTAGAGATAAAGACACAGAGACACAAAGAGAAAGGGAGAAAGCAACTTTCAGTTTGGCGTGGGCACACACCATTCCCTCTCCTCCATTTCTCCATATCTGTGTGTAATTCCCTTTCCTCCATTTCTCCATATCTGTGTGTAAATTCCCTCTCCTCCATTTCTCCATCCTGCTGTGATTTGGGGCACTCGCACACATGCCCAGTACTTTTTCAAACTGCCAGAGCTGGGATTTGAACTGTGAGACATGCAGGCTCCAGCTTTCTCAACCACAGAGTAGGTTTGTTTACACCAGCACTGCCACAGACGTGAGCAATGCTTGGCACTGTGACGTTACTCTGCACACTGACGTGAGTAGGGACATTTTACCTCGCTTACATTACGGGACCACTGTTATGTGTGGAGTCTGTCCAGCTGACTGATACATTGGTTTTTCAGTTCGTTATTTTAATTTCATGTATTTATTTATCATACTTCTTTTACATTTTGTTTTATAAAGCAAAAGTTACAAAATGAATTTTAATCTTCCAACAGAGAATTATCTTTTGTCTGCTAAATGTTTCTTCTCTTTGCCCCTCCCAGCCTCCCTCTACCACCCACCCTCTACCACCCACTCCCCTCCCCTACAGTCTCTGGTATCGACACTTATCCTCCCTGTTATCATATCTGCGGATCTTTCCAGTCCTGCCACAGAACTCAGACGCTTGGTACATCTTGAGTAGGGACAGTGTGCATCTTTCAAGATCTGGCTCACTTTCTCAACATTAAGTTCTTCATATTCATCCACTTTGAGTCAAACAATTGGGTCTCATTTAAATCTTGGATCCATTTTGAGTTGATTCTTATGAGTAAGAGTTAAGGGCCAGCTTCGTTTTTCTGCTGGTGGATATTCAGAGCTTCCAGTACCATTTGCAGAAAATGCTTTCTTTTCTCCACTGGATCGTCTTGCTCCCTTTGTCAAAGATCAGGTGGGTGCATGAGCTGGGATTTGTTCCTGGATTCTCTATTCTGTTCCATTGGTCTATGTGTCTATTTTTGTGCTAGTGTCATGCTGTTTTGATTATCAGCACTTTGTAATATATCTAGAAATTGTGTAGTGAAATGCTTCCCACTTTACTCTTTTTACCCAATTCTGTCTTGGCAATATGGGGTCTTATGATTCCAGACAAATTTTATAATTTTTTTTATTACTTCTGTGAACAATTTTAATGGCAATTTGACTAACATCATATTGAATATGCAAATTAACATAGGTAGAATTGACAGTTGGATTATACTGACTCTTCCAATATAAGAACATGATGGAATGTCTTTCCTTTTTTTTTTTTTTTTTATCATTCTCAATTTCTTGTTTTTTTTTTTCAAGGTTTTTCCTTTAGAAGTCTTTTCCTT